TGTGTGTGTATATATATATATATATATATATATATATACACACACACACGTATATTACAAGATAATTGGAATTCATCATTCAAATTATTCAATAAAACAACATGTAACATAATATTATTTGCCATGAAAATGAATTTGTAACACATCAGCAGTGCTATATTCTCCTAACCCAGTGCTGTCAACATTAACATCATTAACAAGGTCAAACAATAAAAGCGTGGATGATGTCATCATCCAAAGTTGTTCCGCCATCTTTAAGGATGAAGAGGCACCTTCCTCTTCACTGATGGCATCCTGTCTGTCGGGAATATGGGGGGGGGATCAGAGTGGGCAAGGTTAGGCTAACGGGTTAGCATTGCTAACATTTTCTGAACTGTTGGCTAATGCTAATGCTTGAGGGCATTTGTAATTAGGTAATCAAAGATGTGGGTATGCGCAATTCTGATGAAAAAATAAGTGGTAATACGCCGTATACCCGTGTATACCATCAGCTCATTTGCCCAACCAGATATATACATCCCAGTTTCCATAAATAATGTACTTATGGTTCTAAAATTACTTTTTCCATCATTTATTGTTATTCTATCAGTTTATTTCTATGAAAATTGATGCTTTTTCCATTTTCTCCGTTAAACTGCTTCTCTGACATTCATGGGACATGCTCAGAGCGGTCCGGCTAAATCGGATTAAACCATTTTTATCTGCATTTTAGTTGTTTCTTTCTTTAGATTACGCACTATATAGCATCATGTTAACACAAAAGGAAAACAAAACTCAAAAAGACTAGATTTATGTTTAAATCCAAAGCTGATAAAGTTAGCTCCTGGAAGTGGCATAGGATCCCATTTCCTGTACAGATAAAACAGGATTTTAATGCATTTATTTTCCCGGGTAATACATTATTAACCTTTAACACATTATAATTTAGGACACTTAATATTTTTAAGGAGGGAAAAACGTAATTTAGGTATTTTTTACAAATCAAAATTGAGGGCGACCCGGGTGGATATCTGAGCTGATGGTAAGGATGTTTCTTCCGGGACGGGTGGGGTAGTGACAGACTCAGCCTGGACGCTGCTGCTCCACCCACTCCTGAACCTCCTGTGAAATCCCTCCTCTCTGTCCGTCTGTTCCAGACCAGCCAGGAAGGCCTCGGCTGAGCAGGAGGGCAGCGCTGAGCAGAAGGAGCGTCCCATGAGCATCATGAGTGAAGCTTCCAACTACACCGGTGGCTCCGATTACAGCCAGGCCCCCACCTCCATCTCCACCTCCACCAGGGTGAGGGTCCTCAGGCCTCGCTCTGAACTTACAGATCAATGTTTCTGATTGAACGGTGAAAGATGAACCAATCTGTCCTTCTGAAGCCTTCCAGGCCGTCCAAGAAGATCCATAACTTTGGGAAGAGGTCGAACTCCATCAAGAGGAACCTGAATGCACCGGTGGTGAAGAAGAGCTGGCTGTATAAACAGGTAGAGTCCGTTTGGTTCTGGTTCTGAACATAGTCAACCTGTGGCGTGTCTTTCTGGTACCGCCCACATCCTGAGCCCAGACCAGCACCTTCATGGACTCATTCATTAAGATCCAACTGACCGAAGGTTGGGCTCAATAGAAACGCCGTTGGTGAGAAAATGTGGCCATCTTCAGACAGAACCGACCGGACTAGACTGGACCGGACCGGACTCAGGGAGGGGAGTCAGAGTGAAGCCTGATGGACCGTAACTCTTCTGACGTTGAACTTCACTACAAATTAACCTCCAAGTGTAGATGGAGTCTTCAGGAACCTGAATACTGGTCCAACTGAGCCAACCGGTTCTGTTCAGGTTCTGACCAAGAGTCTGGGTCGGTCCTCAGAACACCTGGATGGAACCAGCAGGGAGGCGTTCCACTAACGTCACAGATGAGCTAAGAGGAATGAATGAAGCTGTGGCTACAATGATCTGGAAGGACTGGTGGTTTGTACTGCTCTGGACCGGTTCAGACCAGTTTGTACTGGTTTGGATTGGTGGGGAACAATTTTTACCGCTTTGTACCAATTTGGCTTGGTTTCTAATGCTTTGGACCGATTTGTACTGGTTTGGATCATTCAGAACGCTTTGGATTTGTTTGGACTGATTTATGCTGATTTGGACCGGTTCATACTGGTTTGTACTGTTTCAGACCGCTTTGGACCGGTTAGGACCTGTTTGTACCTCTTTGAACAGATTCATACTGATTTGGACCATTTAGGACCAATTTGAACTGGTGTGTACTGGTTTGGATTGTTTCGGACCGGTTCATACCGGTTTTCATCATCTGATCCATCCGACCAGATGATGCTGTTGCTCCCCTCCTCTCAGCTTTGGTTGCCATGGCAGTGATGGTATGGCTCATTCCTGTACTCGGGGACACTGATGGCTGGATGTGGGGCCCCAGCATCAGGAGGGGCCAAACAGCACTTTGGTGCATCATCAGGGTTCTCTCCTGGCCTGTTGGCCTGGTTCTCCTATAGGAGGAGCCCAGGTCCACCACAGCAGGGTGGAGCAGAACCACACTGAGGGAGGAAGAGGAGGGTGAAGAAGGATGATATGTCTGTATCTAAAACATCTGACCTTTGACCCCTACAGGACAGCAGCGGCATGAAGCTGTGGAAGAAGAGGTGGTTCGTTCTGTCTGATCTGTGTCTTTTCTACTACCGTGGTGAGAACACACACACACACACACACACACACACACACACACACACACACTCATGTCTTGCTATTATTAGTGAGGACCAGGTGTTTTTGAGCCCCACGTTCTGCTGCCTGCAGCTCTTAGATGTGACGAACCGAAGCAGCTTGGAGATATTTCTGCGTCATTTAAAGCATCCATTGCTGATTGACAAAGAAAATTTAGTTTAATGACATAAATCAAAACAGCGTCCAGAAAGTCTAATAAATGGAAAACCATCAGAGAAGTCAGAAGGAGAGACGTGAAAAATGGATAAAATACGAGAAAAATGATTCTAGTGAGATTTCATAGGATTTTTTATTTATAGATATTAATCGTTAAATGATTATTCTATTATAGAAACACTAAAAAAACAGTAAAGTTAGAGTTTAATGAATTTATACTGAAGCTTCAGCACATTTCAGAGTCCTAAATCTGTTAATGTGGATAAAAAGTTAGATCTGAAAGCTTAACGTCTCATTTCCTGAAGAACAGGATCCTTTGCTGGACGTCTACACACCAACTACAAGATGCTTTATTTAACCCTTTAAAGCCAAGTGTATCACATCTGATAAACGAGTTTTTAAGACTTCTGCATCTGATGCTTTTGATCTTGAAAACCCGGATTCACACAATCAGACACATTTAGCAAACAGATAATATGTAAAAGATTATACAGAAATGCTTACTGTATCAAAATTGATGCAAATAATGCTCTAGTTTAACTTAATCAAAAGGTATGTTTTTATTTCATTTGTCAGAAAGTTAATTGACAGTTCTAATACCAAAAAAAAAATGTCTGTCAATTATTTCACCGGTCCAGGCTTTAAAGCACTCAGATAAAGGTCAACTATGGACATGGCTACTGTAACCCTCAATAAGCCATATAACTTGCTATGATCCCAGGTATATGTACAGTGGGTATGATAAGTATTCAGACCCCTTTAGATTTTTTTACTATGTTTTATTGCAGCTATTTGCTAAAATCAATAAAGTTAATTTTATTTTTCATTAATGTTCACTCAGCAACCCATCCTGACAGAAAAAAAGACAGAAATGTAGAAATATTTATTAAAAAAGAATCCCCTGGTCATAAGTATTCAGACCTTTGCTCAGTATTGAGTAGCAGCAGCTTCTGAGCTCGTTCAGCCAGGACTCTTCCTGGGAATGATGATGGATCCTCTGCCGTTCTTCCTCTCCAGGTCTGTCAGGGTGGCTGTTGAACGCTGGTGGGCGGCCATTTTCAGGTCTCTGCAGAGATGCTCCATGGGGTTTAGGTCAGAGCTCAGGAAGGGTCCCAGAGTTGTTCTTCTAGCTGTGAGTTTAGGGTCATGGTCTGGTTGGAAGGTGAACCTTCGGCCCAGTCTGAGGTACTGAGACTCTGGAAGAGCTTTTCTTCCAGGATATCCCAGTTGTCCTGTCCCTACACCCCATAGCATGATGCTGCCACCACCATGTTCTACTGCTGGGATTGGTGATGAGCAGTGCCTGGTTTTTTCCACACATACTGCTTAGAATTAACCCCATAAAGTTCAATCTTGGCCTCATCAGACCAGCGAATCTTCTTCGTCATAGTCTGGAGCTGGAAGCCTTTCTATAGACAGGTGTGTTCCTTTCCTAATCAGGTCCAATTAGTTTAATAAAACACAGCTGGACTCCAATGAAGGAGCAGAACCATCTGAAGGAGGATCAGAAGAAATGGACAGCCTGAGAGTTAAATATGAGTCACAGCAAAGGGTTTGAATACTTATGATCAGGTGATATTGAACATTGATGAGCAGACATTTAAATTCAGTGACACAGAAAAGTTCAATGACATCGTCATGGGATAAGCCTCCAGGGCCGTAACCCTTCAAGTGAATTCTGCTTGGGGCCCCTAAATTCCTTGAAACGGCCCTGCTGAATGTAAAGCTTCTTTTTTTATATCTTTTATTTTTATAGATTTTTTTATTTTCAGGTTGAGTTTGCCAGGTCACATTGTCTTCCCACCCAATCCATATGCTCGCTCTGACCAATAGAAACGCTGATGACACCCAGAGGACCAATAGAAATGTGGCTCCACCCACACCAACAGACCTGGAAAATTCAGTTTGAGAAAAAGAGAGTTGTTCAAACTCCACATAAAGAAGAGAAATTTGAAAACAAAATAAATATAAAAAAAAGTACAAATATTGAAATAAAAAAAATTACATTTGAAAATCATTTTAAAAACTTTACTAAGAATTATTTTATGATATGCTTTTTATAAACTGGCAAATATGGAACCAGATTGGAACCCGGGGGGTGTTTACATAACAAAACTGACCTAATGAGGAAAACCTAAATGAACCATTTCATCCAATCAGTGATGGAGGAGCAGCGAAGTCTAAAAACTTAAATATTTTCATACCGGGATTATTTATCCCTTATCCTTATGATTAGAAGGTCAATTGATCCTATTAGAATCCGATTGGATGCTGCAGTCACTTCTGATCCTTATAGTTTGGTTTTGTCCTGAACCATCTGCCTCTTCCAGCTGCAGAAACCTGATGATCTACCATCAACATCTGTGGATCTACTGTAGTGAGAGAGCAGCTTCATTGGGCTCACTGAGACATGGCTAACAGCACTAACCCCTCACATACACATACATGGCAGCAGGAGGAGGCGTTGCTGTGGTTCAGCTCTGGGCACAGTGGCTAGTCTGTGGAGTAACATGTTACTTTTCTGGTGTCATTCGTCCTAAATTTGGTTCAGGTTTGGTAGACGGGATCCCAGAATCTCCTGCGCCATCCTTGCCTCTCAGGTGAAGTCGTTCTGTGGAGCTTGGCCCCATTTTCATCTCCAGCTGATTCCTTATGTCCGACGGGGGAGAGATGGAGTGACTTTATCTAAAAATGTCCTGCTATATTTGTCTGAGATTTTGCTTTGTTGTTTCTGTAGATGAGAAAGAGGACAGCATCCTGGGAAGTATCCTGCTGCCCAGTTTTCACATCTCCATGCTGTCTGTGGACGACCACATCAGCAAGAAGTATGCCTTCAAGGTAAACCCTTCTAGGTGCTGGGCTGAGGATCTCGTCTGGATTCTTTTTGACTGATTCAGCAGAAAGTAAAAAGTCAGTCATGAAAGTCTGAAGGCTTGTTGGGTTTTTTTGCCTTAAACTCCTCAGCTTCAACACATGCAGACCACAGTTCCCTGTGGAACTCAGCTTTTAATCCCTGACACAGGTTCTTATTTGAGTTTAGGTCTAGACTTTGACTAGGCCTTTCTGGCATATCAAAATGCTCTCATCTAAATATTCTGTTATAGCTAAAGCTTCAAGGGTAGAAGGTAATCTCCCCGTATTGTCCTTGTGTTAGCTCTCCTGGCTAGCTTAGAGAATAGTATTCCCACAACACTATGCTAGCACCGTCATCCTTTGACATTGAAAAGCTGTGTTAAGGCTGATGGTAGCATGTCACCAAAGAACGTTCTTCCCTCAGGAGGCTTCTAACAGGAACTGTTAGAGCCTGATTTCTCTTCCCTTTACTCCACCATAAAGCTCAGCTCTTGCCCCATCAGCAGTCGGTCAACAGTGGAACTCTTCAGCTCCTCCAAAGTTACCGTCTTAATGGCAGATTATACTTCTGCAACCGCACACATCAAATGTCGCTTAAGTCTGGTTGCGAACCAGTTTTGCTGGTATGCTTCTGCAACGTCGGTCTGGAATTTCTAGGGACGCACAGCAGTTTCCCATGAAAGCGCAAGGGGGAGCCTATTGGAGAACTCGCCAGAACTTCGCAGATGGTCAAAAGAACGACCGTGCCGGCGGGAGTGTTTATTTTTCAAAACAACGATAGCGCATCTGCAAGACATCACGGTCACGGATATGGATCTAGAGTTGCTAGACATCGAAGAGGAACAGGTTCTGTTAATGGTGTTGGCAAAACGACCGATTAACCTTTTGTCGTAATCCATTGTAGTTGTTCCTCGGTTTTTAAAAATGGATTCTATTCTGGATTTAACAGGAA